AAACAACGACGTACCCTACCCTACCGTACACTACCTACGAACCGGTAACGGTACGTACCGTACGTCACTACTACTATGCACGTGAAATAACTAACTACTCTCTCTCTCTCTCTCTCTCTCTCTCTCTCTCTCTTTCTCTCTCACAAACACACACACACAAAAAACAAATAAGAGGACATATCCTAGAACCCCAAATGGCTGAAACCATAGTATGTGTCAGTATTTCATGTGTTGCCTGCCTCCAAAAAATCAGTACACGAATGAAGGTCCAGGGACCCAAGATGGCGAGAGAACAAAACCCACACAAATCTTGCCCCAACAAGACCATCCAGAAGTATCCATCCCACTTATGTCTTCAAGTTGCATTGCCTGAGCAATGCCAAAACTACAAGCAGAAGTGAGTTCCCAAACTCATCGGGGTATGTGATCACATGGATAACCTACAGAGAAGCCCCCAAAGGTCCAACACATGCAATTGACTCAACTATCGTGGAACTGTCACCACAATTGCTGCCAATACTGAATGTACTTGGATTGAGTCTTCAATGGGACCATTCAGTAGTTCCTTTTAGCAGAACACTTTCCCATTTATATTTCTTAATAACCAAAGCAAGAACATTAATACTTCTTCGAAAGAAAGGTGCGAAAATTATGGATCTTCAAAATGTATTTTGAGTTAATGTGGTAACCAAGAAAGACTTGGCAGTATACTCTCCTTTTATAATTCTTTACAAGAAAGGTAAATGCTCAGAATAAGGTTATTTACATTGTTAAATAAATCTCACATTTTCAAATGAGATTTCAATTGGCTCCACTTTTTCTAGAATTACTTGACCATGCTAATCCAATCACTCCAAATATTCCTTTCGCCTTTGTTTTTAATCTCATTTTCCTTCATTAACCTTTAAACTATTCCAAGAATATTGTCCTTAATCTACATACACTCTACTCCTTCACGGTCACTAACATAAATTTGAATGAGAAACCACGATTAACATATATCTAGAAAGATTCTAATAATTAAAGAATGATCAAGTAGGTCAGCCAGAAAGAGATCGGTTTTGCTTTCTTGCGCGATATGATAAAAGAGAAGTTCAACGAATATAGCAGTCATGTGTCAGTAAAAGACTCCCAATCTCATTCCTTTATGCATTATTTAGAAGTAATCTACAACAAGGACTAGCGCCTAACTCAATAAGATGCACTAAAATAGTATACAAAAAACTAATCTATTAGCTGTTAAGTTCGCAGTTTGGCACCATTATTTACATAAGATTATTCATATTTTGTTTATAAGGTTGAGGCTATGACAAATTATAACACACGCACACACAAACACACACACACACACACACACACAGACCTTGGAAGGTATTCCTTAGAGAGAGAAAACCTTTGGCCCACAAAGAGAAAAAGAAATGAGCTGGACAACGTAAGATATGTTAGATCAGATAGAGATAAACACCTTTTAAACTGTTTACACCTATAAGGGATTTTTAGACAAAGATCTTTCTCAAAGATTTTCAGAAACAATGCTTCCAAAACAACAGTTTAAGAAGTATGGGCAAATACTTCTATCCTAACCATGACTTGTTGGCAATATTTAGAAAATCCAAACACACGCATGCACACACACACACATGCACACACACACATACATACACACACATGCACGCCATGCACACACAGAGTTATGTTTGTGACCCCTGCCTACAGAGTAGTACAGACCCAATGGCCCAGATTCAAATGGTCAACATGTACATTGACCTTTTTCATTTTTAATTTGTTTTCTAACAAATACTTTTGGCTTGAAAATTTGGAGATAAAAAATAAAAAGCTTAAAAAGAAGAAGTCCCCCAAAAAGTAATCTGCTGGAGGAGGAGGAGGACGACGAGGATTGGTGAGAACGAGGAAGATGTTGGGGAAGAAGAATATAGATGGTGAAAACAAAGAAGATGTAGCATGGCTTCTTCCTTTTCCTTTGAGTTGCTCCTTGAACTTTCTCACTCTTGAGGTTTTCTCTCTGTCTATCTCTAACATAAATTTACAATTGCCTCCTCCAAACAGCATATGACTCAAAAATGTGTTTAATCCGATACTTATTATGGTGCAGGCCAACCAACTAATAGAGTAATGTTTGGGATGAATATACCACTTTTATACAGGTAATACTCCATGACGAGCTTACACTGCACCAAATCAGGCTCTAACTTGTCAATGGCAACTACAAGAACAACAACAATAAGGGTATCAAAAAAAAAAAGGAACAACAACAATAAGCAAAACAAAATAATAGAACTACTAAAGAATTATATAATGAAACACAATGAGCCCAACAAGCTCACCCTAAAGGCACTCTTTTCTAATTGCAGAATACAACGATAACATACATTAAACGGTACCCATGCCACAAAGTTGTTTATTCATTTTCTTTTTGAGAGATATTCCAACTTACACAAGTTATTATTCAAAAAAAACTTACACAAGTAATCTCCACCAAACCCAAATCATATACTTTCTACATCAACACAAATGATATATCCGAAGAAATGAGATTGATTACCATCCAACAATTACTTCCTTTGGGTTCACCCTTTGATGTGATACAAGCATGGAATGATGGTACTCAATATCGACAGCAACCTGTATCAAACCACAGAATGCACAACTTAGAATACATGTATTAAATTAAGCATCTTTCAAATAGAAACATCTGGTGAAGCACAATAAATTTTTGAAACTCATGGCTGCATTACATTGTACACAATAGTGTTTCCGGAGTCATCCAGGTCGACTTGGACTCAGCCGATTTACTTAGGACGAGTTCAGTGTACACTAGTGGTGATGTTTATCAAAACTCTTGATAAAAATTGATCAAACTTTTTACTACTAGGCCCATATCATTCCCTTTTCTCCATCCGAAATAATCTATCTATATCTTTGATTTATTCATCAATTTTTTGATGAAATATAGCTGCTTTTTTTAACCAATCCGCCCAAACATTCATTCAAATCCAACACAAACTGATGCGATTTGTTCTTGATCAGCCTCTACAAGATCCCTCTATTTATTTATTGCATCAGAGGCTAGAGATCGAGAGTTCTGGCCCAAAAAATCTCACTTCTTATGAGAACAGTTTTTCAGAACAAACCCCAATATATCTGCCATTCCATCTAGTTCTCGCTCATCTTTTGCCCAAATCTGTTGAAACTGGTTATATTTAATAGTGATTCAACCCTCTTCAATAACCCCATACTGATTTGTTTGAATAATGGTTGAAAAATGACATTTTTGGCTTGAAAGTTCGCTGTCTTTCGAGAAAAAACAGTATTTCCCATACCCTTCGATTTTTTGGGGCCAAATAACCCTTTTTGGGGAGAAATTTCATCTTTTTTGTTAATCTCAATTTTTCTATTTCTTCAGCATTTTCCACCATTTTTTCTGGTTTGTCTCCAGCCTATCAGATATCGGCCTGACTCCGGCGAGTCCACTCGTACTCCCCAAGTAAGTTGCCCTGGGCCAGGGCTTAGTACCTGACCCAAGTCAATTTCTGAAACATTGGTACACAACAATAAATATATCACCAGCTAAAGAACAGTCAAGTTTTTTCTAAACCAGTAACAAGTATATTATGAAGGGCTAAACAGGAACTTGCAAAGAAAATTTGAAGTGATTCCCTGTACAATAACCTCGTTAGTTAGCCATATGGCATCAAACTACAAATATTTTAGCGACGAGCAGTAAATGTAGATAAACAAATAGCATAAAATCACTAGCAAGATCTCAAGGCATGAAGTTTTCATTTTACCCATCAAAAAAGGTTGGTAGAGCGCTCTGTGTTAATGAAATATTCTTACAACTACTGCTACACAAAAAAAAGGAAAGAAGAAACAAAATTGCTATTATAAAATAAACATATAAAAACTACAAGAAATACAAGAAATAACAGAAAACTAATAACCAAATGAAAGTAAGTTTTCACTCGTCCTAACCCTAACATAAGAATATTTTCATGAGACGGGCTCTGGTCGCAGCAATATCGCGAACCTCGTTTTGCAGGAGATCGAGAACCTCCTTAACATAATAATATTTTCATGAGACGGGCCCTGGTCGCAGCAATATTGCGAACCTCGGAGATCCAGAACCTACTTTTGCAGGAGATTGAGAACCTCCTTTTGCAGGACATTGAGATCCAGAAACCCTAGAATAACCCTAGAATACTACAAATACTATGCAGGAGATTGAGATCCAGAAACCCTAAAATACTACAAATACAAATATATGGAAGTAGCTCAATTTACAAGTGAATGAGCTCAATAAACTCAAGAATAATACTCTGTTCCCCAGAATAATAACAGTACCTGATCAGATGACTCGTTGTGAGGAACGCAGTAAGAATTCCTGATATCTACTGTTCCATCTGCTGAAATTGATCCAAGAAGAGTCCCAATAACACGTTCTGCTTGGTCTTGACGCCTCAAAAAAGAATCACAGATATTAAAAAGAACAATAGGATGAATCTTCGCCGATAAATTGGTACTGGAAGGAGAGAATTGAAGAATCGTGTTCCCACTCGCCATTATTGCTAGTTGCGAAGCTCTGAAATCCTAGTACAATGGAGTTACGCAAATGGCCTATGAGGAAGCAACGGCCTCTTTACAGGCGAACGAGAATACAGACAGAGCCCTTTTGTTTGCCCTAGAAAAGAAGAACGTCTAAGGGGCCGTTTCGGTAATTGAAAAAATATTACCAGCGAAATACATCACTCGCGTAATAAATTACTGCAGTAATACATTAATTGGAAATGTAGTATGTGAAAGGTTTATATGCTTCCTCTACATTATAGAAATTCTATTGTCCCCCCAACTACCGAGCCGTCCAATTTTGGTCAAAGGAGTTACTTACCATTTCATTTTAGATCTGACGACTCAAAGTATTTAATTTTTAGTTTTTTTATATAAATTGTATGAATATGAAATTTGGTCCGTGTCATCTTTTCATTGTGGTGCACCTATAAAATATATTAAAAATAATTTTTTAACAAAATATAATAACCAAAATACCCCTTGAAACTTTCAGAGGTATTTTGGTCATTTTATTTTATTGAAAATATATTTTTTTATATTTTTCGTTATTGCGAGTTTAATAGAAGAATTGACGTCCAAATTTTAGTATCAAAATAGTTTATTGAAAAAAATTTAAAAATAAAATAGTGTAGAGACGTGACATTATGATTGGAGCAATCTTAGCCGTCCATACATAATGGATGGTTAGATAAGGGGAGGATAAAACTTCTATGTTATAGGAAAAGCATAGAAAACTTGCCCATATGTTATTATTGTTTGTGTGTGGAACTGATCTTGAAAATGCATTATCATCATTTTGTATGCAAAATATTGGGTGGGGTTTGTATAGGGCTTACGCTCTAAACACAAAAGATGTCATTTTATTACAAAAATCATTATAATAACTTAAATATTTATTTTTATCTCTAATTATAAAATTTAGAGTTTTAAAAATGGTGTAGATCAAATAAATCTATGAACAATTCAATATATTCAAAATTGACGGTCCAGATAATATATTACAAGATACACTATTTTCAAAACTACAAATCCTTCTTCTTTTTTTTAGGTCCGTGTATCTAAGGTCGGGATCATTAGATTTGAGAGTTTTTTAGGATCAAAACAATTTTTTCTAGTGAGTTTTTTTATGTGCGCTTTAGTTAAGAGTGTTTAGAGTCTCAACTTTAGATAAAAAAAAATTCCAAAATATTGTATGAATTTTACCTATAATAATGTGAATTTTTTTTTATACCATTCTTAATATATTTTTTCTTTTAAGATAAAATATGAGTTGAAGCTAAAACAAGGGTATTCAAATACAAATCCCATCCCCAGTCTTCTTCTAGTCCAAAAACAAAAATGAGCATATAAAGTATTATGGATGACCCCATTTGCCATATAAAGAAAAGTGGGTTGGTTAGAGAGTGAAAAAGGGTAAAACGAGAAAAAAAAAAAGATAAATTGGTTAGAGAGAGAAAAAGGGTAAATCGAGAAAAAAAAGGATAAAGAAGACATCGACAGAGAGAAGGGAATAGAGAGAGAAAATGGATTTAATTTTAACGGGAGAAATGAGAGGAAGAGGAGACAACGGAAAAAATAAGGAAGTTTCGGGTTTGTTTTGGTAGGGGTGCGCCAGGCCCTTGCAGTAGTGCAACGCATGGGCGACGCCCGAGGGACCCACTAGCCAGCTAGTGCGGTGGCCCCTCCCCCACTGAAAAATTAATTTAATATCGTGTGGTCCGATGGACCACGTATCAGATATTAAACTGATAAGAACAGATACTACACTTGATCTTAGCCAAAAGGCCGAGAAAGGTATGCTTTTGAATGCCTTTGCTGTATGCTTTTATAGTCCCTATGTATCCCGAAACTTCCCCAACCTTCAATATGGGATTAAAATCATAACGGTCGTGCCTCTCTCCATGAATAATAACTACAGTTATACCTCTTTCTCAATGAATAATAACTCGTATTGTAGTGCACAAAAGTTTACACAATCTCATTCAATAAAATAATATATGAAAATAAAGTCCAATAAAACACATGTATAATATTATCAAGCATTAATAAAGTAATTTAATAAAAATCTAATTAGAATTATAAATAATTAACAATACACAATAATACTAAAATAAATAATTCGTAAATTTTGTGATAAATAATTAATAATAACATGTAAAGCTAATAAATGCAAGTATTATGCATGCGCTTTACCAATGTTGTTAATGAATTGAGAGAGGAAGAGAGATGAAAACCTAAAAATGGAGCGAGGTCGTTAAAACCCAAACGATGTGCGTGTGAGAGAGGAAGAGAGTTTTGTAGGTGGACCTCAAATGAACGAGGTCTCGTGTGAACGTTGAAAAAAAAAAAAATCTGATCAATTTTATAATTTGAGCAGGTCCGCAAGATCTACATTACCAGGCATCCTAGCTAATGGATTTTTTAGCCTTTTGGTTTCTATACGGTCAAGCCCGCATATGTAGAAATGCGGGCCTATTAATAAATCTATTTGTTAAATAGATTTTTTTACTTAATCTTTAAGGACATGTAATATCTAACATGGAGATCATGATTATGAAAGAATAAGTAAATTTTAAAAATTAAAAATAATAATTATAATAGAAAACAGTTAGACTGTTAGTTTCGATTGTTTTAAGATAGAACACCTACTTGTATCGATCTTTAAGATGGATGCTTTACATTTTTTGCACCGCATATGTAGTTATGCGGTCCAGCCCACATGAAACAATTTTCCATATAAAAAAAAATAAAAACTAAGGGTCTATACAACCACGGGCCATGGTATATTGTAGGAGACATATGGATGATCCCTGCAGGTAGTTTTCAAAGTTAGCGGTGTATTAGAAGAGAATACCTATACTGCATTATTAACCAAAAGTTAAAGGGTGGATACATGTCCGCAAAAATAAATGGGCACCTTATCTCTAGAAAAAATTCAAGACATACAATCTTCAATGAGGGTAGTTCGGAGTTATCGTATAGGATAATTGTCCTTCCTTAAATCTCAACTTCTAATTCTCTCTCCCTTCTCTACTTTTGTGGCTTCTTAAAATGTCAACCCGATATATTTTTTACCTCTCTTAGATTGGATATTTCCTATATAGATGATAAGTTTGAGTTATATTGCAAAATTATACATGTATTTAAATATGGAAAAAGTTTATTTAGAGCCAAGGCTCTAAACAATCAAATTAGAGCCTACCTCAAAAATTTCACTAGAAGAGGTTGTTTTAATGCCAAAATATCCTCAAATTGATCATCTCGACATCAATATGCATGGACATGAGAAAAAAAATGGATTCCATGTTTTCGAAACAGTGCATCTTGTAATGCATTTTTTGACCATCAATTTTCAAGATTTTTCATAGATCTGCTCGATGTACACTATTTTTGAAGCTTTTGAAGTTTATAATTAAATATAAAAATATATTTTAAGGCTATCACAAAGATTTCTGGTATTGAAACCACATTTCTTGACACTATTTGAAGGTGTGCTTTATTTTGATTATTTAGAGCCTCTACTCTACACAAGCCACACCCATAAAAAAGAAGGTCATGTTCGGGTTCTCATACATGTAAGTATTTATTTAAGGGAAATGATTCTATATTTCCATTATAACATAGAATATATATGCTTCTCCTACCATCCAGCTTCATAAAGTTTGTATAAAAAATTAAAAAAAAAATACTCTGAGGCATTGGATCTAAGATCAAACGATGAGTAGCTCACTTGATAAGGGGAAACATATAAGTTTTATGTTGTAGGGAAAACATAGAAAGCTTACCCTTTATTTTAATATACTAAACATTTTTAGATATTAATACTCCTATTAATGTAATAACTTTTTGTCTAGGGATATTTTAGATAATTTTTCAAAGGCAAAGTAAAAATTCATAATAAAAAGAAGAACATTTATGAATTATAATAGAGAATGACATCATGAGGTATATCATCACCAACATAGAGTATTAAATGCCATTAAACTTTTATAACATTATCTATCATAGCCTTGTTAAATACAAAAAATACCCTCACTCAAATAAACTTTGTATTACAAAACTAGGGTAATTACTGTAAAAAATGTTAAATATATTTAATAAATACTCACATGCATGCATACCCTAACATGATCCTAAAAAAAATTGTAGCAATAACATTGATAGAAGTGTATATGCCAATGTGGAGGATGGGCGATGTGGTTATTATTTGCCGGTATGTGGATTATATGCTCATACTGTGCAGAAATATTGTGTGCATAGAGGACACAAAGAGATTCATGTCTTTTGAACAAAATATGAACGACAAAACGCAATATGATGTGATTCTTGGAATCAAAATAGTGAGAAATACATATGGATATTCGTACTTGGTACCTACATCCGTAAGCCTCACCCCACCTTCCTTTCTTTGACCTTGAGCATGGAACAAACTTGGTATAATAGAAATCAGGAAAGAAAAGAATTCGATATGATGTTTCCTCTATACAAGGGACTGATACCTCTCTATTTTATGAGGAGGTCCAAATCTGATTATATTCAGTCCTAGAGGACATTGTATTTCAAACTCTCTGTTCTTAAGAGAAACCAGCATGTTCAAATGCAAGTGCAGATCATGGAACTTCTCTCCTCTCCCTATTTGGTTGAATCGATCCCCTCGCTGCTAAACGATCTTTTGAAGCCTTTGTTCTCGGCTTTGCCTCTTCCAGCTCCGCCTTTTCTTTGCCTACCATGCATAAGAGCAACACCATCTAGCTAGCGCTTGAGGAGTTTTACATGAAGCTATGAAATGGTGCCCTACACAAACTACTAAGGCCCCACGGCAATTTCCAATTAATATCTCTTTTATTGCCGTTGATGTTGAGACCGATGCATCTCTGCATAACTCTATACTTCCATGGCAAAGGATGCCATGAAAGCAGCATCTAGCTACAAGAGGAGAGTGCTCTTTTTATGACATGTACATACATTTAAATCGACATATTGGTTCAACAGGAAATCAATGCAACATTTTGAATACAACATCTTTCCAGAGTTGGGGAGTGATGCATTAGTAATATCTGTTGTAGCAAGAGAGGCATTGTGAGCTTCCTCTCCTTCTTTAGTAGGAACTTCTTGGGGG